CCACAAAATTCTTAATCACACGACATGTTTCGCTAACACAGTAGCTTCATCAGGTGAAATACTGGTACAATGAAATAAACTAACCTTATTTCAGAAAGTTTCAGAAAAAATATTTTTTCCATTAATTACTTAAAAACCTTTTGTTTTTCCTGAGGGTGCATGAATCAATTGATCTATCGAATTTCAAAGATCATTGGTCTGAAATGTTCTTTAGGATATCAATAAATTGCTATTCATACCAAACACAAGGTGGAAATTATGGAAAGTGAAATTGGATTTCAGTCAAAATTTCACCGTTCTTGATGACAACAATACTGGAAAATAACTGAATAACTACAGCAAAAAGGTCATGCAAATATCAATATGATCACCCATCAAGAGTAGCAAAGTTCCCTACCTACGATTATAACATTGTCCTACTCCCATTATTAGATGCACTCACTAGCGGTAGCAAAGTCAGATACCTACTACAGAAACATCGTCTGATAGCAATATACAGATGCACTCGCTAGTGGTAGCAAGGTTCTATATCTAATAATCGCAGGTGATGGGTTATAATCAGCAACGTCGACTTTTTAATCACAGAGGTGATGACTGTCCCCTATGCTATTAGAAATTCTTGCTGGGGTAATTCGATTTCTGCCTATGTTCAATAGGAATTTTCCTCACTGTTGGCTTGCCTTAACTTATATATATATCCTAGTTTCCCAACCTGAAGGATCAGAATTACCTGTGGAAAGGTTCGATAAACCTCCATTTTCGGAAAATAGGCACAATATCTACATTAAAATACGGTGTAACGGATTAACTTCTAAGGATTGATAGCAAATACATATTATCACCTACTAAGAAAACAAATTCAACAGAGGTGAACTATTGAGGGCTAGTTGATCGTTCAAAATGTTTGAATTTTTTAAATTGTTGATTTCTATGATTCAAAATAATTGAGTTTTTCTCCTTTATTTTCTACGTGTAAAATTTCGAAATTTTCATCAAAACTATGGTATTCTTCTGATATATGTGTGACGTATGTTGAATTTGATTTCATTCAGCATATTTTGGTCTCTTGTTCACCATGTTAAATTCATGGTACGTTATTCTGGGACACCTTATATATTATATAGCTACAATGTGTGGATAAATTAATCTAGAATGGTCTAGTGCAATACTCGATAATCCGTCGCTTATATCTGTTACATTTTGTGATGGTCCACTGGCTTATCAAAACTATATTCTGGTAATTTTGTTCCCAATCTGAATAAAACAGAGTAATTAAGATCACTACTGCAATTATTACAGTTCGGTAATTGAGCCATCAAAGTATGCGAATCGTTCACAAATAGAAATCGGTTTGTGTGAAAATACCGAACAATTTGAACAGATAATTATTGCTCATTTTCACTTTCCCACGTTTTAATCTCCAATATGGATATCGAAATATGAATCAATATGGATTCACACCAATGGGGAAGTTTCCTATATTGAGGTTTTTATCTCACTATGAAGTTTGTAAAAAATTCACGTATACTTTCTTTTTCTTTTTTTCGTAAGATCAAATTTCACTTCAGAAAAAAATAAATAAAAGAGGAACTTGGCTCCTCCACCATTCTATGACTATGACTGGCCTTCTGAAAATCCATATTCATACAGAGTTAAAATTCGATTCCCTGTCCAGTACGACGTCGCCGACATCATCAATATGTCTAGATATCTGGAAATTGGTCTTTGAATGCATAATAACCATATCATAACAGCAATGGGATATAATATACAGTATGATGCAAATGTATGGAATAAATTCATTATTTCAGAAATGGGCGACATTTGAAAAAATTCCAAAAGCACGTGAGTTTTCATTTTTGAAGCTTCATCTCATGATATTCATATGAGGGATGTTACGTCACCGGTGTTGAAGTAATGACGTAATGGACAATTTTTTCAAATACAAACAGGGGTCATGTGACACTTCGTTTGAAAGGTCTACTGATCGTCTATTCAACAGTCAAAATTTTGCATAAGAAAATTGAGATTAAAATGGATCATCATTTGATTAACGGAATCTTGCAGAGGTCTGCTACTGAGAATTGAACAACGAAGGGTCGTCTATTTGAAAAAATACATCAATTAATAAAGTTCTGAAGTCTAGTTTTTGGATTTTTTTCGGAAGTCGTCTTGTTTTGAAATGAATTTATTCCATACCTTAGCATCATACTGTATAATATAGGTTCTTCAATACTACTTTGTCAAGTATTATGAATAATTCCCATAAATCTCTCATTGACTGAATAAAATTGATAACTAATGAAGATTAATTATGATCTTTTGCGATAGCATCTATGACTTTTCACGATCGTTGTATTACAATATGTTATTCATAACTTGTCAGTCATTTTTTTGCTAATGAATTCGTTCCTTGATAAAACGGATCTATTTTCTAGGAAAGTTGCAGATTATCTCTTGCGACAGCGCCTTATACTTCGAATCCGTCCACACCACTCAAAATACTGACAGGCACAACAAGAGGATATTTTCGTTCAGGATCGAGCTCTATTCGTGATATTTCAATGTATAAATAACAAAACCATAACCTGTCAGAATGAAGCCAACTACCCTCTGCATTCCTGCTCCGAGTGCATTTGTGGTTATGTATGTTCTTGTTTACTAGTTTTGATTCTCCTTCTATTTTTTTTATTCCTTTTTCATTCGTTAGCTTTCGCTAGCTATATTCTTCACCATCAGCTATTTTCAGACTAGATTCAGAATTTACGCCACAGTTTGCCGCCCCGAAAATTATAAATTGCTTCAATTTAAAAATGAAAACGACTTGGACTTTATCGGTCGCCATTTTCTACAGCGTGGGCATAAAACTTATTTTATGAAAATTCAACTGAAGGAAACTTCCCCATTAGGTACATTCAATGGATTGCCGATATATTCCAATATCACCTACCTACCTATTTTGATCCCTCACAATCATTCTCACTGTATTTTTTTACAAAATTGATTTCAGATGCAATTTAATCCCGCAGGTTCCGGTCCGGAGAGTGACTAAGCTCAAAAAACTAGACAAATCAACACGTTGTTGAATGTTTTCAAACTGCATCCTGCATAAGGAAGATTTTGTATCACATTGAGGTACACATTTCCATTCAAAAATGGCTCACTGATGTAATTCTTTTGTTTCTACAGATAAACAGATGAAAGTCGATTTTTTTTTGTATCAGGCGCGTAAACAAGGGAGGGGGGGGGTAATAATCAAAATTATCATTAGGATTCACGAAATGGATCTAATTTCATTCAACGCGTAGATACCTAACTACAGTATCAAATCTATTTCTTCCTAAAAACTGAAAAATTACAAAACAGCGGCGTGCAAAGTTCGTTATTCATTTCAACAATTTAATTGATGTATATAAAATCCCATAATCCACTGTGGTTTTGTCATTATGACAGCGAAAAAAGTTTGCCCTAATTTTTCCAGCAACAAAACGGAAACTCAACATTCGAAAGCATGACAACCAAAATTGTAAACTAATATTTGATGGTGTGATTCACGTATTCATGAAATTGTCTTAGCGACTTACACTCAAGCATTTTTGTTTTGAGTGGAAGTAAACTTGAAATTTATAATTTTTGTTGCCTTTCGGAAATTTTAATTTTTATGTGAATAAAACAATTTGAAGGCATTTGACCTGACACCACTAAAAAAATTTCGCATGCGGGGTTTCTCTGTTTTTTTTACACCCGAGCCACGAATTGGAACAAATAAGCTGTGTCGCACCTGGTTTGTATTGTACATAAATAATATAAATTGACGACAAATAGAGAGAAACTCAAGTCATCACCACAATAGTTCATAAAATGAACGAAAATGGTAGATAACGAGAGAATAACAACTACTTTCGTGGCTTATATGCCACGCAGAACATTGGATTACATCCTCCAGAAATCTATGCATTAATTCGTATAGGCGAATAAAATCGCAATAATTTTGATACTCATTTTTTTTTCATCGTATCAATAGCTCAAAATTTGTGTTGAAAAATTGGTGGCAAAAATATGTTTTTTTGCTTTATTCACAGTTCGAAACAAAATTGCATTGCAACTCTCACTAAAAGTCGAAATTTTGATGAAAATACGTTGGAAATATATTATAAACTTTAAAATTATATATTGATTTTATGCAACCTCCAAACGTACTGCAAACTGAAATATGATCAGTACGCTGAATTCCTCTTTCTACCACCTTTCCAATGAGGGGTCGCAAGCTATTTGTAAAAAAAATAGTGGTGCCCGTGAGAGTCTCCTTTTCGAGAGTCTCGCATGGTCTCGTCTCGTTTTCGAGACAAGACTCGAGACGAGACTCGGACAATACGAGACGAGACTTTTATTGGTTTTTGTGTCCATTAATATATCTGAGAATCTTCCTTTTCAAAAAATGTTATTTTTGTTGTAATTTTCTCTTCCTACTTCTACTTAATACCTAAAAAGTAGGTGAAGGTAAATATCCCGTACTATAGACTGGAACAAGATTATGCATGACGAAATGCGATAAATTTGCGAGACTCTCGTACGAGACGCGAGACAAGACGAGACTCGTGGGTGCGAGACGAGACTCGAGACAAGACTTCATATTTCATCGGCGAGACGAGACGAGACTTCATGAAAGTCTCGTCTCGTTGGTCTCGTGTGAATCACTAAAAAAAGGTCGAGGTAGATTCCTGCTACCCCTGAAGGGTTATATTCTCCATATGGATCGCCAAATGTTGGTAAATACATTTAAACGTTGACGGTTCTCGCGAATATTCAGAAAAATCATTCACTCCCCCAGTAGCGAATTTATTCCAGTTATGTATTCCACCCTGTATATGCAAGTATGAAGTATAACTAGTGAATTATTGATTTCACGATCAAAATTTGGAGCACCTTGACCAAGTGGATGATTCAATGATTTTCATCGGCATTTTTCCTATGTTGAAATTTGTTTCATTTTGTTTCAGTGAACGGTCTACGAAACGACTACAGCGATGATAATCTATCAGACGACGAGAGCTCGCCACTCACTGAAAATATTTATGGAGGAAGGTAAGTTCACGAACATACATTTTCTTCAAATTCCCAATGCATATTTTGATTGTTTTCTGTGATAAACACTGAGGGAAATTGTAAAGAAAGGGCCCATAAAGTCACACTCCCTCTGTTAGTTCAATTCTGAACGGCTGGAATGTTTCAAATTCCTTCCTGCTATAGTATAGCATAGTAATGCTGCTATTCTGCGTACCAGTACAGACTCTTAAAGGCTATGTGGAATTATCCATATCTATAGAATGTGAGGAAATCAGTATTCTGTCAGTGCGATTTCGATATATTTCTATAAAATGACATTACATAGTATGTAACATTCCTATGGACACGATTTTTTCACTGTAATTGATAAATTATTTATGTAGGTAATAATATGGATGTTATAGGAAATCTTCATATATGTTTGGATCCATCGTTCTAGAGGAAGCTGGAAGGTATAAGAAATGAGAATTGTCACTCAATCAGTATCAGTCAAATTTAAGGATTATACTTTTTTTTATTGGATTTTTTTTTGAACTTTTGGAGATTATATGTTGTTGGGAATACTTCCACAGGCAATGAATTCCAGAGCCTAGCCGTTCTATGGATGAAGGAGTCTTGATAAAGTGCTGTTCGACCATGTTCGACATCTTTCGAGGTTGACAACGAAAGGATGTGCTGACTGGGCTTGTCTAGTTCGTCTTTTTTTTTTTTTTTTTTTTTTTTTTATCGCTTGGAGCGCACGAGAGGGAATCCCTATAATGTTCAAAGAACATCGTGCGTTCCTAGGGAGGATAGGGACAGGAGGTAGGTATTGGAATTTTTTTTGAACTTTTGGAGATTATATGTTGTTGGGAATACTTCCACAGGCAATGAATTCCAGAGCCTAGCCGTTCTATGGATGAAGGAGTCTTGATAAAGTGCTGTTCGACATCTTTCGAGGTTGACAACGAAAGGATGTGCTGACTGGGCTTGTCTAGTTCGTCTGATTGGTATTGCTAGTGAAGGGATGATAGCAGAGATTTCCGAAGAACATTTCCCGTGGAAGTATCGATAGAAAAGTGAAAGGTCGCCGACCTTTCTACGGTGTTCTAATGATGTCAAAGAGTGAGTGAGTGTGGCGTCACCCACCAGGCGAATGGCTCTTCTCTGGATGGAATCTAAGAGCATCAGCGTATGTTTTGGTGCTGAACCCCATATGTGAGAACAGTATTCTAGATTGGTATTGCTATAGTGAACGGACAATTAGTCAATGATACAATTGATATAGATAATTACCATTCTGAAATATCCATTTTCTTTGAATCTATCAAAACCAACCCTGAAATGTGAGGTTAATAAGTAGCTATGAAGTTAGCCATCTATCAAAATGCAGTAAGAGAGTGTGTGGCAGAATACCATTCTCTGTCAAATTAACAAAATCTATAAGTGATATGAATGTTACAGAGACTATATTCTACATACCTTACATAAATATTTAAGTTACATAGATGGTCGGCAGAATAGCAGCATTAAGTATTTGAACTACCATGCAAATATTTACTTACTATACATTCTGATTCCGGTGAGAGTAGGTTCGATCCTAGCAGGGGTGTAGCAGCGGCATCCGTTTTTGAGATACAAGGTTTGAAAAAAGATATTTTCATACATTTTTCACGATTATGTCAAAACTACTGTCAACATTGTGATGCAATCTTGTATGGAAGTATCTTGAAAGCTGACACATCGCATGCATTTGTTTTTATATTTGACTCTCATAGAGGGCGCTAGTTACACGGTTCGTACCGAGTAGTTTCGAACATAACTTTTTTGAGGTTAGATTTTTCAAACCAAATTTGATGAGAACTTGAACATATTTGAATTCTACATCAAGAAGGTACCTTTGATAGAACTCAATACTGTGTACATTTTTCACAATATCTGGATTTGAGAATAAAGGAGTAATATCTGATGTTGGTATAAAATAAATATTATTGAGATCAATTAACTATTTATTCATATTCAGAAACAATAACATTATTCTTTTGCTGGAGTTATTGATTGAACAGAGAATCACAAGTAAGAAAATGTGTAAAATTTGATTAAGAGCATGAAATATAGAATCAGTTAGAGTAGTAAATTAATAATCTCTCAAAATGGAATATAAGGGCTCTCCCAATAAAAAACTGTTTTTTGCCGGCCACCATGTCTATAAATTTGTTAAATTGTGAAACAGCAATTTGCCATATACATAAAAAACAGCACATTTCTGTTTATCTCAATCCGATCTTGGCCATTCTTTATTCCAGAGAATAATCATTTTTATGGTTATCAATAAAACGATCGCAGACTCATTCTATCAATAAAAACAACAAACTACACGAAAAAAACAATGAAAGTGCGTGAGAAAGGACAAAAATCGAATCATGAATTTTAAACACCAACATTATCTCCGCAATTATAAACGAATTTTTGTAACGTGAGTATTTTTACACAGATAGATTACATTGTAGAGTCGTCAATGTATCAGATTTAATGACTTTTTTAATTGTCAAGTGAAGAGAGAGGTAAACGTCTTGTTCTTGTCAAGGTCTATGTTTTTATAACGAGAAATGTGAACCTACCAAGGTGTTTCTGAATATATTCTCAATAATACTGAATTCTCTGAATATTTCCAACGTGCCTTTATTAATGTGTATCAGATCAATGCTGTAATTCAATAATTATTGATGTTTTTTATACAGATTTTTTTTTCAAAATTCAGTATCAAGATTTCGGGTGCTTTTTGTCACCAATCTACAGAGCGCTGAAATTTCAAGATTTTTTTCGTTTTCTTTATAGCTCTTTCAGTATTCGAAGATAGTCAGATTGAATTTGAAACATTTAGGCATTGTTCTCGGATTCATACTAAAGAGTATGTCGAGTGATTTTAATAATCAACGGGGAGATATTTTTTCAGGGGTTAAGGCCTCGGTTAAGGCCTTTTGAGCTTCATAAACTTTCTTGTGGTACGCTACTGGGGGATATTAAAATACGAAAAGAGCTCTTTGTTTCATTTGTTAACCTTTAACCCACTTGTAATTTTAACTCATTCTGGACCGCGATCATGCAAAAAATCCATCTTTTGTAATTTGCTAGATTTAATCAATATTTTTAACCAAAGAGATGAACGTATAATCACAACAATTATAACAAATAACGCTACATATTTAGTTTGTGATCTTGATTACAAGTTTCCGAATATGAAACTTCAACGTGGAGATAAAAAGTGTTATTTTGACCTAGAAAATATGTCTCTAGAATCTTGATACTGACTACTGAGTTTTAAAACACCCTGTATAGAACAGATCAAAATCCTTGGAAAATATATAATTTGCCTTCTTGATTTTGATTCCTATATCTACTGAAAAGAAAATATGTTTCTCCATAGGAAGGAGAAGATTTCCCTGCCGTACTTTTTCTGAAATATTTCTTCAGTAAGAAACTCAGAAACTGAAATCAAAACGTATTACCCTTTTTTCGAAGCATCCTTGCTCTTTCGGCTCATTAAAATTATATATAGGGTGTTCCATTGAAAAAACATTCTCATAGTTGTATCACGTTACTTTAAAATAGAGGCATTATTTTTTTCTCAGTTTTTGTACGAACTGATGTTGGAATGGATGGAATGGAACTATTCTTCTATATAATATGTTATGTATGCCCATTTAGTGTGAAATGAAGCTCTACTAATATAAATAATTTGTTTATTCTCACCACTGTCTAAATATCAACTGCTCGATCTCTGCTGCCACATATCAGCAGGTATCGAGCGAATGTGTACAAAAAAAGTATGTAAAACAACTCCTACAGAGTGGAGCTTGTTTATTCTAAACAAGATATCTAACATAATATATGTATTATGGTTCATGTGGTTGGCACAGTCCGATTCTGACCAGAGTTACTATAGAATAAAATCAACTATACATATATAGTATATAATCTAACTATTACTCAACGTACCATTCCCGTCTATGGCAAAAACAATGTGCATAATGTAATCTGGTCTACATTCCAAGAATTTGTTCAAGAGAGCGTAAATGATGATTTCATAAATATGTTTTCATTGATTCAATCAGATACAATGAATAACTATATTCGTCACGTATATGACTACTGACACAATTTGAAACTGTTACTTTTCTATCGATACATACATAGGAAATGTTCCTCAGAAATCTCTGCTATAATTCCATCACTAGCAATACCAGTGCTACGAACTTGACAGGCCCAGTCAGCACATCATTTTGTCGTTAACCTTGAAATATGTCGAACAACACTCTAGCAGAACTCGTCCACCTACAGAACGGCGAAGCTTTGGAATTCTCCACCAATGAAAGTATTCCCGAGAGCTTATAGTCTCCAAATGCTAAAATATAAATCTTACACCTACACCTCCTCTCTCTATCCTCCCTAGGTACGCACAATGTACCACGAAATTATAGAAATTTCGTTGATTACGGTCTGTCATTTTACTTGATTTTTTGGGACTTTCTCTCTTCGTTTCTATAAAAGAAAAATATGAATATTATTTCAATACACGCGTGTAGTAAGGACAAATCAGATGATTTGCCCCAAAATGTCACTACGTTTGAAGAATTTACCTATCAGAGAGCCTTAAAGAAAGATTCACTAGGTTTTCAGTGACAATTTGTATTGGAAAAAGTTTGGAGAGGAGAAATAAAGGTATATAGAAAACATATCAAATTTTTTCTTAGCTTTGGGCGTTTCGGGAACGAATCTGCTGCCGTTCTCAACATGAAAATGCAGAATATTTTTTGTGCTTTGACACTTCTCAGTGTCATACTGATGTTGGCATATGAATGAGTGATTCTAGTCTACAAATGATTTACAGGATGTTTGCATCAATTGATCTTGAATCTACCATTTTCATGTTCAGTTTTCAGATAAATAGAACATGGTATTACTGCTATTTATTTTCGATTTTATCTACAGATATACCTAACTATAACTTTCTGCTTCTTGAATTCTATTTTCTCTCT